TTTCAAAATCAGATCGGTCACATGTTGGCTCCGATTGTTCTTCTGCCTACAACAGACCCGTTAACCTCCTGTCAGGACACATCGGGCTGCCTCCACGCCCGCTACAAACAGGAATGTGTGTGTGTGTGGACACGTGCTCCTGAAGTTGGCTGGAGAGGGACAAGTTGAAAAAATAGGAAGCGCTCTGCATAGAGGAAAACCTGTCCCTCCTGCCCTGAGAGCAGAAGCCCAAACACAATGGCAGATGTGCTATTCTTAGAGCTGTGGAAAGTCAAGTTTGCTTTGACTGAATAAAGAAACACCAGTGCATTAGCTTGCGTTTCCAGTTAGGAGCTACAAGTTTGAATCAAACCAAGTGCCTTAAACCTGGAACGTGACATGTAAAGCTGCCCTGCATTCATTCATTATTAATTAACCCATCCACCATTTATTCACTCATTTAAACATAAAATATCAGAAAAGTTAAAAAAAAAAAAAAATTACAAGCTCTCAGAGCCAGTGTCAAAATGTTTCTACAAAGGTTGAAGCTGCTCCTTTTGTACAACCTGACTTTCATTTGACAATTTTAAACTGAGGCAGAAACTACTCACAGTGGAGGAACTGAAACTGAAATAATATTCAGCATTTTGCTTGGTCAAAATCGTTGATTCACTTTGAGCTCTAATAAGAACAACTATGAACAAATAAATCCAACAGTAGGGTTGTGTATCAAACCACGAGACGTTTGTGGTACAGAGTTCCTACAGCTTATTGTTACTTTTTCTGTGTTGGGTAAACATCTTAAATAGCAGTTTAACAGGTTTAACTTTACAAACTACTTCAACTCAATCTGAAGATCAATGCAGGAACAGGGCTGGGTATCCATCATCAATACTTGTGGTACCAACAGAGTATCAAACACTGTCAAGCATTAAGTCACCAGTCAGATGACTTTTTACTGGGATCATATAGTATCCCATTTAATATTTAGACAGTTTCATGTTAGCTTTTTACTTTGGCAAAGTCAAATGTTTGTGCTTAGACAACCGTGAACATCTGACAAGTTCAGCTTCTTCTGTTAAAGCGTGCACGTGTTGGCCAATAACCAGAGGTATCTGCACACACAGAAACATTTTCAAGAGATGCCCAGTCCTACCCATGAATATGACCACAGCACTAAAACAAACTTGCATTGGATCTTTATTGCAGCAGCTCCCCCACAAGCCTGTACCAAAATACTTACACCACCCCATTTATTATAAACAGACATCATTAGTTCTGCAGAGGGGAAGACATCTCCTCTCTCTAAAATCCTCTCTCACTTGCTGACCTGCAGCAGAAAAATCTCACTGCAAAGTTAACAGGTAGACGGTTTGCTTTGGTTTCTGACCCCCCCACCGCCAAAAAAAAGAAACCAAAACCACTGCAACTGATCAGGAAGAAGGAAAACCAAACACTCTTTAACTTATCCTTTTACAAGCCGTCAGTAATTAAAATGCCAAATTAGCATTGTGGGACACCTACAGAAAGGTGCACTGCCCACATGGGGGTCAGAGTTAATAAAAACAAACGTAAAAACAAAGCACCATTTCAAGGTGTTTAAGTGCTTCAGTAAAATGGCACATGACAAATGCAAAATGATAAAAAAAAAAAAAAAATTCATCTAGTGAGGAGACTGAAGTATAAACCTCAGACCAGGCAGTGGGAGTCGTGTTGTCATCTGGCACCGACTTGTGCCGTTTATACCCGTTTAATAAAAACGGGTATAAACAAGCAGCAGTATGTTCAAGTGGTTTTAAAAAAATGAGCACATTAATAAAATCCTTCCACTGCACCTCAGCGACTTCTTTATATCATTTCCTTCCCTCTCCAAATCTGATTAAATAACCAACTTTGTTACATGAAACCCTGGAGACTAAAAAGATTCCCACTCTCTTGGCATAATTCAAAAGATATTTCCTCGCTGGTGGGGTGAGGCCTCAGGCTCTGTCTGCCCTCAGTCTGTTCAGGGGGAAGCACTTCACTGGCTCTTCAGGCGGCTGTACATTTCTCTCTTGCTGTGCTCCCTGTCCAAGGTGCGACTCTTGCTGCGAAACTTCCTCAGGTCCTCCTTGAAGTCCCCGTGGTTCATGGGCCGGTAGGACTGAGGCTCACATTGTGACTGCACACAAAGAGAGACAAGTTCAAACTACCATCAAGGGTTTGATTCAACCATTAGAGTGTGTGGAAAATGCCTTCTCAGTGTCTGATGATCAAAGATTACACAGAATTCCTGACAAAATAACCTTTACATGTGACAAAATCTCAGGGCAGGATCCACTTGCAGGCTTTGTTAGAACCATGTTTCATGTTCACGAATCTCAACGGATTCGGTGGTCCTTGTTTTACCACGATAGTGCACATCATACCTTGGTAATTAACAAAGGTTATGATATGTGTGGTGACACGCAGGGCAACATAGTTTTGATGCTATGCTGATGTGTGCACATGCACTGGACTTGACTCATCTCCAAAAACATCGAAGCAAATTTGTAATTGGCATTGCCTGGATAGACTGACCATATATTGGAAAATTAGATGTTATTTTCTTGCCTGAAAACTATCAAAAAAGTTACAGTCCTAGGATGAAAATTACAACAGCCTGCCCTGCAAACACCATCACCCAGTTGACTTGACAACTAGTTTCATGCGTCACTGCTGTATTAACCAGCTACACTGATGTGGGACCATCTGTGGTGGAAAATAAAGCACCTGGTAAGCAAAGGCTGAGCTGGTACCAGGTGAGGGAAAATGGGCTAAATTATCAGCTGAAGGAGACTAACATTTTTGAAGAACTAACCTGGAAATGTGGGAAGAAATCCTTGTATCCACCCTTGAGGATGTAAAGCTCTGGGTAGTGGAGTTTGGGATAGTCGTTCACAGCGCGGTCTCGCTCCCTGATGAAGCGGCACATTCGAGGGCCACGCTCCGATGAGAACTCGCAGTGGAAGATGATGACGACTCGTTTTTCTGGACAGGATGGGACGATGGGGGTCTGGAGGAGGAAGTCCTCCACCTGATCCTCCTGGTGAAGGTTCAGAGCTCCCTGAACGACAGAATTACAGGCGTTTGTGCAGAACTTATAGGGTATAGGGATCACACCAATGGAGCTTTCATACAGTCTAAACTGTTAAAATTTTTTGATTTAGTGGGATATAAGACTGTTTATGTATAAAGCCAGGAACAATTTATTACCTGGTGGAATTCAAAAACTATTTAATGAAAGGGAAGGGGGATACAATTTAAGGAGTCAGTTAAATTTAAAAATTCATGCTATACGTACAACCAAAAAAAGATTTTGTATTTCCATAAGTGGGGTAAAACTATGGAATAATTTAAGTGTAGACATAAAAAATAGTAATAGAATTGACGAGTTTAAACATAAATATAAAGGTATGTGTCAATCAAGATATATGCAAGAACAGGCTCAATGATTAATTAGATGGAACATTGTGGGTGTGGTGTATGAATGTTAACACTATGTAATAATTCTTTAGTATATTACTTGTGTGGCGTAGAAGAGAATTATCTATGTAGAGATACTGCTTGCAAACCAATGATGGTAAGATGATGTCATGGGGTAGGACTGGATAAGTCTGACTTCTTCCTACTCCATTCAAGCATAAGCAAATTGATATTGGATTAACATTTGTTGGATTTGTGTAAAATTATGTGTGTTGATATATCAACTGTCTTTACATGCTTGAAAGAATAAATCAAATCAAACTTGTTTCAACTCAGTTTTTTCAAGTTGACAAAAGTATTACACAAACTGTTGGTTCTGGAGCATCAGTGACACAAAACAATCAATCTGAAGTGCCCGCATCGCGCTTTAGAAAGTCAGACTGTGAGAAATTGAGATTTAGCAGTGTGATGTTATAGAACAAATTAATTTATCATGAAAATAATCAGCAGATTAATCAATAATCATAACTGCAGACCTAGTCAACTCCTACATATTGTACATGGTTGACATATTGGTAGATGCTGACTCACCTTAATGTGTCCTCCCTCAAATTCGTACGGGTAGCGGCAGTCAATGACAATGACTTGCTCCACTAGGTGGTTAAACTGGCCGTTCAAAGCCGCCGACATCTGAACACAGCAAAGAACACTTTATTTTGAAAGTAACGTACAATTACAGCAGGAAAAACCCTGGGGATTTGTACTTTGAAAAGGTCAGCGCTGAGAGCAAACGGCCAAGAGCCCCTACTCACCATGTCTGGGGTAATATACTTGAGGTCTTGATGTTTGCCCTCCACTGTGGGTAGTATAAAAGGCTAAAAGGCAAAAAAAGAAATTGTATTTAATAGGCTCAGTTCACATAATTATGTTATTTGTAAAAGGAACAGCTGAAGATTCTTCAGTCTTCCTTACCTTGGTGAAATCTCCTATTAGCTCATTACACCCGTTCTCAATGTCCAGCACCTTGTCAATCTCTGTCTGGCAAAAGGACTTGGACCTCTGCAGCAGCAAACAGCCCTGGAAGGAGCAGAGGGAAAGATTTAAGGAGGTAGTCAAAGACAAAATGGGGTTAGGGACAGAGAGCCAGGAAACCTCAGTCGATGTCTCGAGAACCATTTCTTCACCTCTGTAAGGGTGAGAGATAATCAACAGTGGATTTCAAGCTGCAGACTTGTTCTACCAATAGGTTTGTCCTCATGTCTGAACTGACCACGTTCTGACCAACTGCTGAGTTTAAAACAACCACCACCCAAGATGTCAAAAGCATTAAGAATGTTTTGACTTATAACTGTCTCAAACCTTTAAGTTTGACCGTACACTTTTATTATTACACAAGTGGTTTTCATGTCTACTAGTCAACGTGTCAATATTGTGACCTGGTTTAAAACACTGGTCTCATTAAACTAGGTATAGCAGGTATCAATGTGACTTTCTCAAACATTATAGTGGTCACAAGTCCCAGGAATAAAGGACTCACCATTCGTGGGGATTCATGGTTTTGTTCCTGGCTGGTGACTTGTGTTCCTGCCAGGCTGCGTCGCCTTTTCACCCTCACAGGCGTGTTTTCATCCCCGGGGCAATCTGGACGCTTCACAGAGGAACGGGACACCGGACTGGGCATGGAGGGCGAGCGAAACAGGTTTCTCGGCCGGTAGCGAATTACAGGCTGAAGGAGACATAATTGATTCATCTCAATACTCCATTCTGTGGCCTTAAAAGTGATATGTCTAAGGCATACAGTATGATTAATATCTCTAACACCTGAGCAGGAATCCTGCACGTTTTATCACAAAGCTAATGCTAATCTACCTCTAGGCTGTGTTTCAATCTAGACGTTTCAGCCTCCCGTCACATCCCCTCAACACGAAAGTAAAACCAAGACCATGCTAGGTCACTAATGTTACCATAAACCAAACATCAGCTTTAGATGCCGACACATCCAGAACATCTGAATCTAATCCGAGTCCTCTGGCTGCTTTTAACCCTGTCAATGTCAAAGATCCAAAAAGCCCATGTTAACCCTGGTTGCTGCTCCTTCTTTGTTCCACTCTCTCTGTGCAAAAGACGCCACCTCTTCACTCCATGGCTGTTTGACATTACTACTGGCGTTTGGAAAAACCCTTCTTATAACCATGGCTAGGTGCCAGGCGGGGCTAATTTACAGCAGAAGGACTGTAGGGAGCAGAGTCATGGAGCAGGGAAATACGGCTGAAAGACACCACATCCTGGCCCATTTTTGCCGGGTTCATCAGACAATGTGGATAATCTTTATTAATGCACCTTTAAATTGCTATAGACAATGCTGCTTTTCTATTTTGAACAGTACGACTTTGAAAAGGACAAAAGTTAACACTTCAGCGTCTATATTAATGTGATGTGAAATGTGGCACAAGCAACACATTCCCACAAGAACTGCTGCTTCTTCCAGGATTTGCACTGGTGTGCAGATTGGACAGTAAAGCAAACATTTATTACTGCTCTGAGTCTCAATTAAATTAATTTACCAAAGAGCTTTTGTTCCCTAATGGGCAAACTTACAGATTCCTCGGCCACCAGTGGGGCAGTGAGCAAACTGGCCATTCCCATGGGCATCCCAGAGTCGTTCTGTAGGTGACAGAGATGCTGTCAGACACATATTTAGTGAGCCTGATAGTTCAGATAATGACAAGTGATGGGAAAAAGAAAAAAAAAACTTTGTTATTTGAATCAGTCTCAGAGAAATAAATTGGGGTATGTCCAGGAGGGTTTTTAGACACACATTCACAGACTGTCAATAAAAAAAAAAGTGGTAATCATTGAACACATAAAGCTATAATTCCATGCATGTCAGTGTAGGTGACAGAGTCTCACCTCCGTGTTGTCGTCCAGTACATCCAAGAAGCCATCATCATCATCGTCATCATTTAGAGAGGAGGTGAGGGAGGAACTTTTCAGGAACACAGGGCTGGAGTCATAAAAATCAAGCTGCTGGATGGGAGGAGGTGAAGACAGCTGGGCAAGAGGGAAATAAGAGGAGATTTAGAATGCATCTAGAACCAGGTCTTAACCTTGTGCAGAAATATGGGCACCGTTTCTTTGGAAGCTAATGTACCATGAGAGCTGGCGCCGAGCTGAGACGGCAGGCAAATGCGTCCTTTGGCTGTCTGCTGGTGAAAGAGCGGATGCGACTCCGTGACACTGGCTTAGTTGGTTTCTTGAATTCAAAGCCCTCCTTAAAAAAAAGGGAAAACAAAACAGGAACTTAAAGTCAATCATTGCTCAGCACTTTTTAGAAAGCATCACCAAGGCCTAATAGACCCTTTCCTAACCTAATGGCTACTAATGTCTTGCGACACTTGTGCAAGTATTTACCACTTGTAACAAACAAACATAGAAAAAAATGTTCTGTGTTAATCTCCTTTTAAATATCTGATACCAACAACAATATATTTCTAACTATGAGTGAGAAACGCCACAGACTGACCAAAACCTTAAGCCAAATGATGCGATGCCCTCACATTGGCAGTAAGTCAGCTTTATGATCATAACCAACAGTTTCACAGCCCACAGTCCATTGACCAACATAGACATTCTTGCAGGTTTTCTCGTCATACACCTTCTCACTGATGTGTTCTTCCACACACAACTGCCACTGACCTCTGGCATGTTCTCCTTGTTGCTGTGTTGAGAGGACGTGGCAGTTATTTGGGAGGGTTGTTGCCCGAATATTCCATAGCGGTGAGAATCTGTTTCCTGTCCCTTCAGAGCTGGACTAAAACCCAGGAGCTGGAGCTGAGGCGGGGGAAAAGAGGGACCCAATCAGCAGAGGCTGTGAACATGCAAACAAGCTATCCCTGTGGTAGGTTTACACTGGATAACTACTGTCCTATGTATGCTCTGACCTGTTTTGTTTTAAACTATTTTGGGATTAAACTTTGTTTCATGCTAGACAGTCGAATTAGGAATCCAACAGGCCATATTCCTGTATCTCAGTGACTGTCAGCCCACAACATCAGTTAGAAATTATAAATATTAAAATAAGGCACACAGGGCTGTAAACACTAATGAAAAATCTGCTTACTGGTAATGAGTTGTTTCTACGAATTGCCATCTTCCTACAAATGTTAGGAGAGAGAGAGAGGAGGTAATCAACAGGCTGTTTTAGTTTGAGTAAAACACTCACTTAACAGCAATATTGTTCAAATAAAGAGTGGCAATTACAGCCAAACACCAGTTAATGATTTTAGAATCTTGTTCAGAAAATAACTTACTCGCTGACAACTCGGCTTGACTGTTGAATCGCCTTTTCAAATCTGTATCAGAAAAATCAGAAACTACTCAGAAACAGAATGGCTAAAATATGCAACAGATTAAAACAGTACTGTTCATAAAAGAAGAGTAAACAGTCTTTGTAATAAAACCTGTTAAGTAAAGAGGCTGGACAGCCTTAACTACCAGTCCAACTTGCACCCAAGACAAAGGATCTGGAGCTCTACTGAGAATCCAAGAGGAACGTTGGACTAGAGGAAGCTGGGTAAATGCATAGAGGTGATCTATGCACTGGAGTAATGCCCACCTGTATGCTAAATAGGTGGAGGGGAGAGCTCAGAGTGCAGCTGGGGGGCCACATGTATATGTCCTTTGTTTGCTGAGGGGGAGTATAATCCATTCAACACAGAGCAGAGGAAGGGAGGGCAGCTGTTCTCTGGGGTGCCCTCATTTCAATAGACGCTGTATAGAAAGAAAAAAAAAAA